GGGTAGCGGGCTAGTGATACTGTGACCGGCGCAGATGCAGTCCAGCCTCCTACAGAGATTGTTAACATGAGAGCGGAGGTTCCATTACCTCGAGCTTAGGCTGCACAGTTCTTGAGATGGCAACTTCTAAACCTCCGTTGACCCAATACGAGGGGGTATGATATTGTATCCAAGTCAAATATTTTAAATGTAAGTTTCCAAAACTAAATAAAAATCTATCAAACATATTTATAAATTAATAGGATAAATTTAAGCTTAAAAAGTTTATAAATGCCAAATTAAATTAGACTTAAAAGGTTTAGATTTGCCAAATTAAAACAATTGCTCAAAATAATTATAATTATAATTTTTGATTTGATTGTTGGATATTACTCAAATTTTTACATGAGTTTTTGAAGGTTGTTTTCCTTAAAGTAGTTATAGAATCGTTATTTCAACTATCAGATCTTTAAAGTTTTAAAATCTCATCCTAAGGCTCTAATTTTAACAGTTTTTATGATTTTTCTTGTTAATTTTGAATTTCATGCTTTTTTTTTCTTTATAATTTTAGATTTTTATTTTGTTTTTTAGTTGAGATAGGTTTTCTGACCTATTTAAGGTTTTATCTACCTTAACTAGATGATGATATATTCTAAACAGATTATATGAATGGCTTATCAAATATATTTATGGATTAATAGAACAAATTTAGGCTTAAAAGGTTTGGTTATACCAATAACCATAACTTTTAATCTAACTATTGGATCGTCCTTAAATTTTTATATGAGTTTATGAAGGCTGTTTTTTTTAGAGTAGTTATGGAATTGTTATTTCAATTGTCAGATTTTAAAAATCTCATCTTAAGACCTTGATTTTGGCATTTTTTTAATTTTTCTTGTTAATTTCGGATTTTTATTTTGTTTACTAGTTGAGGTAGGATTTCTGACCTATTTAAGGTTCTATCTGCCATAACTAGATAATTTGTTCTAGACAGATTATGTGGAGGGCCTACTAAATATATTTATGGACTAGTAGGACAGATTTAGACTTAAGAGGTTTTTTTGTGCCAATCACCATAACTTTGATTCGATCGTAGGATCGTGTTTAAATTCTTACAAGAGTTTCTAGAGGTTGTTTTTCTTAGAGTAGTTATGGAATCGTTATTTCAATCGTTCGATCTTTAGATTTTAAAAATCCCATCTTGGGACCCTGATTTTGACATTTTTTTTATTTTTCTTGTTAATTTTGGATTTTTATTTTGTTTACTAGTTGAAGTAGTGTTTTTTACCTATTTAAGGTTCTATCTGCCGCAACTAGATGATGATCTATTATAGACAGATTTCATGGAGGGCCTATCAAATGTATTTATGGATTTGTACGACAGATTTAGGCTTAAAAGGTTTGGTTTTGTCAAATCAGAATAACGACTTAAAATGATCATAACTTTTGATCCGATCATTGGATCGTGCTTAAATTTTTACATTAGTTTCTAGAGGTTTTTTTCTTAGAGTAGTTATGGAATTTTTATTTCGACTAACAGATCGTTAAATTTTAAAAATCTCATCTTGGGGTTTTGATTTTGGAAATTGTTTTGATTTTTCTTGTTAATTTTAGATTTCATGCTTCTTTCCTTTATAATTTTAGATTTTTGTTTTGTTTTCTAGTTGAGGTAGGGTTTCTAACCTATTTAAGGTTCTATCTGCCACGACTAGATGATAATATGTTCGAGATAGATTATATGGAGGGCCTATCAAATGTATTTATGGACTAACATGACATATTTAGGCTTAAGAGATTTGATTGCTCCTGATTAGAATAACAACTCAAAATGATCATAACTTTTGATTCGATTATTGGATTGTACTCATATTTTTATATGAATTTCTAGAGAATGTTTTTCTTAGTTATGGAATCATTATTTTGACTAACAGATTTTTAGATTTTCAAAATCTCATATCAAGGCTTTGATTTTGGCAGTTTTTTTTTTCTTGTTAATTTCAAATTCCATACTTCTTTCCTTTGTAATTTTGGATTTTTATTTTATTTTCTAGTTAAGGTAGCGTTTCTAACCTATTTAAGGTTTTATCTGTCACAATTAGATGAATATCCGTTCAAGACAGATTATGTGAAGGGTCTATTAAATGTATTTATAGACCAATAGAATAGATTTATGTTTAAGAGGCTGGGTTGTGCCAAATCAAAATAACCACTTAAAATGATCATGATTTTTTATCCGATTTTCAGATCGCGCTTAAATTTTTACATGAGTTTTTGGAGGTTGCTTTTCTTAGAGTATTTGTGAAATTTTTATTTCAATTATTAGATCTTTAGATTTTAAAAAATTCATTTCGGGTCCTTAATTTTGACAATTTTTGTGATTTTTTTGGTTAATTTTGGATTTTAATTTTTTTTTTATAATTTTAGATTTTTATTTTGTTTCCTAGTTGAAGTAGGGTTTCTAATCTATTTGAAGTTTTATAAGTCTTTTAAAGAGAAGAGAATTGAAGATTGTTATTCTAAAGAAAATAAAACTTGTGACATAGGTTGGCCGAAAAAAGTAGGGAGGACAATGAATGAAAAAATAATATTAGACAATGAACACTCATTAAGTATTTAAAATATAATAAATAATTTATAAATATTTAAATTTTTTAACTGATAAATAATACATAATTATTGTAAACTGTTTACAACAGAAGTTGATACTTAGAAAATGTAACACATGACGGATAATCAAAGACTTTCCAGTGAATCCATGTCGATACAAGTTACTTTTTTTGGTTTGAAAATAACTTCTTTTGAAAAAGTAATTTTTTTTAAAGTGAATTATGAAAAAATAAATTATTTTTTATATTTAATAGTGTTATGAAAAATAAATTAAAAAATATTTTTCAGTATTTGGTTATTTCATTAAAAATGAGCTGATAAATAACTTATTAATATATTTCTTTAAACTTATTAAAATAATAAGGAATAAATTTTACAAATTAAAAAGTTAGATGATAATAAAATTAAAAAAAATCTAATTTTATAAATTATCTCAAATAAAATAAATAAAAATTAAAATAATAAAAATCAAATCTAACAGATAAAAAAATTAAAAAATAATAATTATAATTTCATAAATTATTTCAAATAAAATAAGTAAACATAAAAAAATAAGGATTAAAATTAATATAAAAATCAAATTAAATCAAATTATAAGGAATTAAAATAAAATATATAGCAATTAAAAATTTTGAAAAACAAATTTTTTATAATTAATAAGTAATATGGTATTTCTAAATTTTTCATAATTTTTTAAAAGTATTTTTCATTTAAAATAAAAGAAAAATACTTTTCTGAAAATCAAGCTAAATTTTTTTATAAATAAAAATTATTTTTTTATTTAATTTTTTTAATAATAAATAAACACAAAAAAATTTTAATTTTTTTTTTAAAATCGCTTTTCACGAACTAACAAGGACTGAATACAATAAATATTCCCTAGCTTTTGGGTACTGTAATAATCCTTTCGGTGTTTATCCACGTTGAAAACCAATTCCTCTGCGGTGGCATCACCAAGGAGACAATGACAATCACACGTGTGTCATATGGCAGAAGCAAGTGATGGAAGTATTGCAGCTCACATTAATTAAGAAAATATCTCAGTGTATTCACCAAGACAAAGCAGCGTCGATTGAAACAATTTAATTTAATTTATTTTTATCATTTTGCCTCTCATTCTAAAAATCCATGGCCTAGTTAATAAGGGTGTTATTATTATTTTTGGATTCATTAATTGTTATCAAATGAATTAGGTTAAATTTATCCTTTTCTATTTTTTAAGAACAATATAATTACTAATTTAACATTGGCTGCAAAAAAAAAAAAAAAAGGAGTAACCCTAAGGTTTTTTTTTTGGAGTTTTAGTGAAAGTACTTCATTTCTCTTGGAATAAAAAAAACCTTTTACGTGGATGCAGGGGTTGATAAGGTCATTTGCTAAAAAAATATTAAAATAAAGTTCAAAGTACTTGAATAGTTGCCAAGGTTTTAGACGATACATGCAACGCTGTCTAGTGATTGAAAGTTACTTGTGGGGGGAAGACCGAATGGCTCCTTTATGCCTAAGCGGTGCGTGTGGTTTACGTGTCTCCAATTGAGTGTTCGATGATATATATATATGTTTTTTTTCATTCGTGATTTTTATGTTTGTTATCTAAATTTTCAAAGTAATTTTTTAATTATTTTTTTAAAATATAGTAATTATTATTTTTTATTTTAAAATAATTTATAAAATTAAAATTTTTTTATTTAACCTTTTATGAATTTTTTCATCTGTTACATTTGATCTCTATTATTTTAACTGCTATTTATTTTATTCAAGCTAATTTTTAAAATTAATTTTTTCTTCAATTTCATTCTTAAGTTTTTTTCCTTGTCAATTTTGATTCTTATTTTGATTTTTTATTTTTTTTATCTTAAAATCTGTTTTTTATTTCATCCTTCAACATTAAATTACTCGAGTATTGAGCTTTCTGATTAAGTTTGGATATTGAATTTAATAAATTATTAATTTGAGAGAATAACCTAGTTTATGAAAGGTTTGTCTGAGTTTATTTTTTTTAAGCTTATATTTTTTTTTAAATTTTATCCTCCATCATTTTTTTTCTTTCTATAAGAATTTTAAGTGGTTGTGAAAATAAAAAAAAGGTTACTTTAAGTTTTTTTTTTTGTTAAATTTAACTTTTTTAAAGGATTCTTTTAATTAAATTAATTAATTTTATTTTTTAATATTAAATTGATGGAGTATTGATTTTTTTGTTGAGCTTATGTATAGAATTTAATGAGATTCAAAAGATTAAGTTGGATCTAATAAGTAATTTTATTTTTAAATTAAATTAAATCAAATTAATTAATCAAATATAAATATAAAATACTCATTTTATAATATTTTATTTAATTTGTTTTCTTAGTTGTTACTCTAACACCTCATGTATTTTTTTTAATTACTTAATCTTAGATTTTTTTTTAAAAAAGCACTAGTGTCACATGAATATTTTTCTTTTTAACATTAGGAAAAAAAAGAAAAAAAAAAGAAAAGAGATTGCACAGCCGGGGCGTAGCGTGCGGCATCTAGCTAGTGTTTGCTAGATAGCTTAGTAGATCATAAGATCCAAGTTCTAAGATCCGGAAACACCCCAAGCGATGTGTACCGAGCAGAAATATTAACAGGCTTAAACTTACGACCAATAAATTGGTATACAAAGAGCCAGTTCGTCAGCATGTGGAATTGCTAGATAAACAAGCCTCGATACCATGCTTGCATCTCTCTTGATGCGGTTCTTCAAATAAGTCTGTTATGCAAAGAACCATGGTGTCATTTCCATGTAAGAATTTCTATACGAATTATGAGAGGCAAAACTTACTCGTGTCTTTCTGCACATACCACCTAAGGTATTTTCAGGCAAAACCAGAGTGGTTCACATCTTCACAATTCAATAGGTTCAACCCAAACAAAGAGCAACGAAGAACCAGTGAGAAACCTGCTGGTCAGCAAACTGAATTACGGTCCCACAAAACACTGGAACCTGCATCACTCAACAAAGATTATGTATTCTTAATCTTTTTTTTTGGGGGCAAAAATCCTCATTATTAACTTGTAAAATCCAACTCAAGTGAGATTCATTGAAAATGGCCCCAAAAATATACAAAATGCTAATGCAAAACTACATACAGACAACAATCATATAATGATCGGTCCAATCTCAAAACGAGTATTCTTTTATATCTGTGTTCGAGTCATTCAGGTCCATGTCAGCCAGACAATCTTCTGAAGTAAGAGGAGGCAGCTGCTTGGTCTTGCGCTTCAAATTATGCTTGTGCCAGTCGCTCTTGAAGTGATCCCTGAACTGCTTTGCATCCCCAACGAACACATTGCATGTGCTGCACTTGTTTTGCTTTACCTCCGCCCCAGCTTTCTTTTCATCAGATAGAGTCTGCTTTTGGATTTTCTCACTCAGCTGTACAGCAGAATCAGTAGATTCCTTGGGTAGGGCTGAGGGCACATCTTCATAGTCATCATAATCATCTACATGGGTGTCCTCCTCAAAATGAACAGACACCGCAAGAATTTCCAGCCTGCCCTGCAGATTCCTCACCAAGGCATCGCAGTCCCTGAAGAAACCTGGGTCCATTTCACAAATCTGCAGAAAATTCAATAAAAACTCGTACCCAAAACATGTGCAGATTTCAACATACACCTGAGAAGATGCTTCAAACTTAAGAATAGACAAAAAGATAAAAGAAGAAAAGAATCACTATGTCAAGAGGTGAACATACACTTGAGAAGATGCTTCAAACTTAAGAATAGACAAAAAGATAAAAGAAGAAAAGAATCACTATGTCAAGAGGTCAACATACACTTGAGAAGATGCTTCAAACTTAAGAATAGACAAAAAGATAAAAGAAGAAAAGAATCACTATGTCAAGAGGTGAACATACACTTGAGAAGATGCTTCAAACTTAAGAATAGACAAAAAGATAAAAGAAGAAAAGAATCACTATGTCAAGAGGTCCACCTAAGAATCATATTGGAACTACTAGATTTTTTTTGGGGGTAAGGGGAGAATGCATTGATTCTCCTCTCTTCTAGTAGTTCCGAAATGATTTTCTTAGGTGGACCTCTTGACATGGTGATTCTCCTCTCTTCTTCTTCTTCTTCTTTTTTTGTGTGTCACAAATATGACATTTATGAGAGAAATGTAACTGTCTGGTTTTGTTGGGTATTCTCAAAGGCAGCCATGACATTAGAAAAATCCAGCTAAACCTGTTAACTTGAAAAGATGAGTTCGTAAATTGTTTATGATATTACTCTAGTTGTACTTGTTTTCATAGGGAGGTAATGTTGCCATTGCAGGGATGACACCCGGGACACACGTAATGCAATGGGTTATGAAACTTCCTGTAGCTTTCCTCCACTTCAGTGAGCTATGATCAACAACAACTAGCCTAAGTAGAATTTTAGAAATAGATTACAGCCTTGAAAGCTTGGTCCGTAACTTATTTCACATGTTCTAGTGTATACTAGTCCACTGGTGACACATGAAACCAGCACTTTTATGAAAGACGAAAGCAAGAAACAAAGCCACTAAACAATTTGTTGCCAACACGTTATAAAAGCTGCTATGGAAAAAAGAGAGTGAAGAAAAGTTAACCCAGTGAGAGGTAACGTGTAGATGAAAATTTCACACTACCAAGGAATGAGTGAAACTTACAATAGATTGACGACTTCCAGATTCATCTTTCGAAACAACATTAGCATCCCAGGCACCAAGCTTTTCCAATAGAGTAGAAAAATTCTGTGCACTAACAGTAAGCCCAAGTCTCATTGGAGACCGCTTGATTGGAAAATGCTTTTGAAGCTCACGAATAACATCTAGCGCCTGAGCAAAATACACAAGTAGCAAGAATATTACACATGCTATACCAAATCCAACAAGCATCACAATTTTTTAACAGTTAAAAAGCCACCATATCACCTGCTTCTTAGAGCTGTTATGCGGTTCAACAGCAAAGTGAGTTTCATGCATCAATCTCTCAATCATACTGATAGTGTAAGGACGTTGGGTTTCGGGATTAATAGTTTTCTGCATAACAATAGTTGCGATATCCCGAAACTGACTAGACAACTGAGATTCCCTCTCTTTCCCGGCCACTTGAAGCTCCCCTTTCTCCAATATCTAATAACAATCATAATAAAACAACCGTGGGCAGCCGATTAATTCATTTCCAATCATAAATTAAACAAAATTTGCCAGCTAAATTCCTTCATGCTTACCTCAAGGCAAATTCTGGTCTGATCATCATGTCCAAAAGCTTTATTCAAATCTAAAGATTTTGCAAGAATTCCTTTGGAAACATTTGAATAAACTGTGTGGTGGGACTGCAGCACTTCATCCAAATCTTTCTCTCTGTTTTGTTTTGCCAAAAATAGATGGACCGTATTATTACCTTTTCATTCTAAAAATAAACATGCTACGTATTACAAAGAGCAAAAATAATAGATTTGCAACGAAGGAGAGGAAAAGGAAGAAGAAGACACTCACACGCCAGAGCGCCAAGAAAGGACCTTGTTCTTGTAACAAGCAATCTCGAAACGCATACCATGCTTCTTTAATCGGACCACTGCTACGTTCGTCAGCCGTTTTTGCCCTACCGGCTGCTGCAACTTCACCGACATCTCTACTTCTCGCTCTCTGCCTCTGGATTCTGTCTGCTACCTTCTCAATTTGTGTGTGTGTGTGTGTTTCTTAGCTGTTTTACTGTTAGACCAGGAGACCTCCATCCCTTTTCTTTTATTTGGGAGGCCCACCCAATATAAAAGCTTAAAAAAGGTGGCCCAAGCCCAACCTAATTTAAACATAACAATAAACCCAAATTTGTGCAAGGGTTTTCCTACGTCTCTTGCAACGAACGTTCTGTTCTGCTGTTGTTGTGTTTTTGCGTTTGGAAGAAGAGAGAGAAACAGAAACAGAAACAGAAACAGAAACAGAAAGAAAATGGGAGATTCCGCTGAGCGTAAAAGCGGGGTTAAGGAGGAAAAAACGAGCGATTGCAGCAGCAGCAGCAACAGAAAGGGGAATAAATTTTACGATATCTATGGACCAGATGTATTATCACTTTCTCTATTTTTCTTTTAGTAATTTTACATATTCTTGTGCTTGCTTATTTCTCTTTTGGATTACTTACTTATATCTATAGATTTGTTTAGTCTATATATAAAATCAAGATGATGGTGGTGGTGGTGGTGGTGGTGCTGCTGCTGCTGCTGCTGCTGCTGCTTATTATTATTATTATTATTATTATTATTATTCCTGCTAATTGCTACTACTAGTTATTTGTTGTGTGTGCCATTTTTTCTTAATTATAATCTATACTGAAAATGAGAGAAGTTTGAAGCTCAGTTTTTGGATTAGTAGCTAAAGAAATCTTCAAATGGTTATCTTATTAATTAAGGTTCTGTTTATGGAGTTAAGCTGCCTAAAACCAACGTAGTAATCACTGATCAAGCATGAGTGAAATCTTTGTGTATTGTGCGACATTATGAAACCCTAACTAACATAGGGGCTTAAAAATAATCTGCATATAGTATGCTTATTTTTTCACACTGCTTCTAAATTGGGACGGTATTGTACCGAATGTTGTGTTGATCGGATTTTATTGTTAAGTTTGCAGGCCAGAGCGGAAGTTGTTTACAAGACGCCGCCAGAAACGAGCTCAACTTTGAATCTGCAAGTAGGTCCCATTTTTAATGTATTTCCTAAATTTTGGAAAAGAAGATTAGAAACTGTTGTGAATTGAGTTTTATTTTGATGCAGGACGTTCAAGGACTTGTAACTTGGGTGCTTTCTGAAGGATTCATGCCTTCTTGGGTGTTTATCAAGGTAGAGAAAATGCCCTCCCTTTTGCAATTTATTTCTTAAGAAAGTAAATAAAAAAAATAAAAAACCAAGCTCAGTTAGTATATTGGTAACTGGAGTCTCATGGTGAAACTAAAAAGGAGTTTTGGCTCTTTTGAGCATTGTTTAGTTGTGTTGGGTGGCTTACTCCATCTGCTTCATAGAAAAGTGTGGGATGCTGCTTCTCCTTAATCTTTATAATTCATGTCCCGGATTCTAGTTTGTTGTCTGCTTAGAGAACCTTTAGCTGACACTGTAGATTTTCATGCTGTGTGTTATGTTTGGGACTGAATACTGTGTGGAGTTCCCTTTCTTTGCCTTATCCTGATATATTTCAAAGGACTGCATTTAGGAGCCTGATATTATACCCTTCCCTTGAATCCTTATTGAATTCTGTATCACGGAAATAACATTTGCATTTTGCAGAACAAACCTCTGATTCCAAAAGTGGTTATGCTTTATGTACCTGGCCTGGATGCAGCTTTATACATATCACAGTCTAAGTTGCTTGCTGGCTTTAAAGAGTGCTGTGGGAACCCAATGCCACTTTTATCTCTTAGGTTGGTGATGATTGTTCTTTCTTTAGTTACTGTTCTTCTTCTTGGTTTTTTCTTTTTTGGTGGATAGACTACTTAGTTACTGTGCTCTGTTGTAGCTACCTGATGGCTTTTATTTTTTCTTCCATGCTAGCTGTGTTTCCGATGGAATGCAGACAGTAGATGCGCTTCTAACATGCAAGATGAAAAGAAAGAGAAATGAAGTTGATTCAGTTTCAAGGAAATCTTTCCTGACTTCTGAACAAGGTTTTCGATCTGTTAACCCAATTCCCTCTACCTGATATTTTATGTTTTATGCCATGTCAGTTGAATTTCTTATCCATGATGAGATCAGGCATTCTACAATCTTCAATAATTTCGTTGTCTACTTGTGCTTTTGAATATTGATATTTCTTACAAAAACAACTAAGTTTCATCCCAAAATAGTTAGGGTCAAGTGTATGAATCTATACCATTCAGCTCAACTTATAAACCAATTCTGTTGTCAAAGGTGAAAGGGGCCTGGGCACTAATCTTAATTGGGAAGATATATATATATATATATATGTCTCCCCATTTAAAATTAGATCATTAGAAAATCAAAAGAAAATATAAAATGCAATGTACAATGAACTTTATTCGAAGAAAAATCAATAAAATGCTAATGACTCATTCGAGAACAAGGTAATTTTAGGGATTAAACCGAGGTTTACCTTAAAACCTAGTATGAGCTGTTGATGCAAAATAAGTAATTGTGGGATCTACTCCACAAGGATACAAAATCTACCATCCAAAGAGAACCAAATCTCTCTCAATAATGAGATTTCAAATTGGTCCACTTGACGATCATCTACAATGCCACATCAGGATACCTAAACGAGGAGAGACTGGGCAAATGAAGCAGAATCCAAGGGCATGAAGTGGAAAATGATAATATTTAAATGACGGCCTCGCTCTCCTTCTCTCTCAAATAAATATATAGATAAATAAAATAAAAAACCTTCCTTTCTCTTCCTCTGTGGTTTGTTTCTCTCTGGTTTTTTTTTTTAACCTCTCTTTCTTCTTCCATCTTCAATCTCTTCGTCACATATTTGCTCTCTTTCTTCCTCAACCCACAAACTTTAAGTCCCTACAAGCCCTAATCTTCAATCTTACCCTTTGATCTGTTTGTTATCTTCAAGAACCCTAATTATTTTCTAATTGTTAGAATTAAATATAATTGATTTTGATTTTTTTTTGAAATATTTCTTTTGTCAATGAATTGCTTTTGAAAAGATGTATCTCAAGCAGGCATTGGCTTTAATGCCTGGTACCTTCTTACCAAGTGCTTGGCCTAGGCAACGCTTCATTGAAATTTTCCTGAGTGTTGTGGCCTCACCTTGCCTTACCTGTAGAGCTTAAGAGAATGCCCAAGCCCCTTTTGAAAACAATAAACCCCACCTCAATAACAATAGAATATTGATAATACTTAACCTATGTAAAAATAGGGTGTTCAAGCCTCTATAAGCTCTCCACCAGTTTCTATGCGAACAATGAATTTGTAGATGGTGTATGCAACGTGAAATTTTCCTTTAATTGTAAACTTGATAGTCCTGTTATCATTTTCTGTCTTATGTCAAGGCAACTAACAATGATCATTATGCAGAAAGAAACAATTCTAGCATGGGAAATATATCATCAGCAGGACTCATGAAAGATTTACCTTTCCCACTATCATATTATACACTTACAGCTAAAGAATTGGAAGACAATGGATATTGCATCAATCAACCAGGTAACATGGATTGCTTGTATTGTTGTTGTTGTTTTTTTAATGATCTTTTCAGCCTCATTTCTCCAATCATTCTGTTATTCCATGACTCTTTTTGCGAATTTCATTTTGTAGGTTTTGTTTCTACTGTTTCTGCACCTTCAGGTTGTGGTCCCTATGATATACTGGCACTTGACTGTGAAATGGTAAGATGTCTGTCATGCTTTGAAGCTTACATCATGTTTTCAAGCATAAGAATAAGAATTGTGAATCTTCAATGAGTTTAAGTCGGTATAAAAGTTTGTGGCTTGAAAGAATTCAGTGATAATAGTGTCAGTTTCCTACTTAAAGACAATTGTACTTATTAGAGTCAATTTGAGCTTTAAGTAACTTATTTTTTCATGGGAAATTTAGGGCCAGCTGTGATATTTTTTGGGCAGGGAATATTGTTTTGGAGTGTTAACTGTTATGCTATAATGTCATCGTCATGCTTCCACTTTTGCTACCATTTCAACAGTTGCCTCTTTTTCCCCTTCTTTTATATTACTCAAAGGCTACTCTTGGTTTTATTTGTCTTAGAAAAAGGAAAGGGCAATTAGAAGTCAAATGAGTTCTGTGGGAGAGACGATATCATGAAAATTTCAGTCTGGGTTTTGTCCATAAAATGTTTGGTTATGATAGGCATGTTCCTATATAATTATATTAGGGAAGTCCAACATTGAAATAAATAAATGAAAAATAAGCTACCAAAGATGTGTTGAAGAGTCTCTTTTTCTTCACATATACAAACAGAATGATCTTTATGGGTGGAAGTGGCACCACCTTTGGCAATGCAGCATCTAAATTCAAATTTAGAAAGCAATGTTGTCTGTATGTTCAAAGTTGTTTCTTTAAATTCACGTGCATGTCTACTTAAACAGCAGCTAAAAATGATTTTTAACTAATAAAATGGTGACAGGAAGGAATGTGTGTCAATTCAATGGATGAAATTGTCTCAGGTGCTTTGTTTGTACTATTTGGATCATAATGGAGCAGGGTTTAGCAGATAGTTTATGATGCACTCTTATTGACTTGGTCTCTTCTGTTTTCTTTTGTTCTCTTTTGATAGTGTATCACAAACGAGGGTTTTGAGCTAACAAGAGTAACCCTGGTGGATATTGAAGGACAGGTATGCCTTACAATTTTTCGTTTGTTTGCTGTCTTGGAAAGGCATTTTTTGTTGGTAGTGGTAACTGCAGTAGAATTTGTACTGAAAGGTAATTATTTGCCATTTGTGTGTATACCAGTGTGCTTGGGTTACTTAACATAAATTAAACTCTTAAGATGATATTTTTTTTGGCATTTCCATATCAAGTATTTATTTTTATACCATGCAACTCCTTTCTAACTATTATTTGTTTTATCAGAAAACCTTGATTCATCTTCTAGTTGGTTCATCAGATGTCTATAGTCTGTACTGTTCTTTTCATTACCTCTTGCATCTAGTGTTATTTTACCATTATGGTAGTTGTCATAGTCCAACATGCATGGGGTCATGCAAGCTGCATGCCAACATGAGCTGGCTAAGCAGGTCAGTTTCGTATCCCATTCTCTGCAAATGACTACTGGAATGGTTTAAAATAACTGTTGAAATTCATGGGCTCTGAAATCATGCAAGAATGGTTTTTTTTTTGCATTGAAATACACTGCCCTTCTATTCATAAAAAGCAAAGGGAGAAGGAAATATTCCCTTTTGGTCATACCTAGGTATATTGAATCTTTATTATATCTCATATAACTTTCTACTTTGCTGCTGGGCTTGTGAATTTAGTTATTAGTTGTATGGATTTTTTTTAACCTTGATTGGCCTTTTGCAGGTGGTGTTGGATAAATTGGTTAAACCCTCAAATGATATTGTTGATTACAATACCAGGTAATTCTTTTTCAATAGTTTGTTAAGCCTGTTGATGGAACCCCAACCTTTTTGGTTTTTGATATGCACTTTTATTTTCTTCATGATGGTGATTAGGAGTCTAGAGGATTTTCTTGCGGTGTTTGTGGGGATATGTGTCCTCGTATGGTCTGAACCTCTGATTGACTCACAAAAACTAGAATTACTTGTAAAATGTAAATGATAATTTTGTCAGCATGATTATAATTATGCTGATCAACTTCAATTTCTAGATTCTGTATGTTACCAGTTGGTGCTTTCTTTCCTTTTTCTCAACAGATTCTATATATTAAATACTATGCTTTCCCATCCCCTTTGTTCGGAAATTCTGTTGAATAAATGATTCTCCCAAACCTGGATTAGGGAGAGTGTGTCTGGAACTCACCTGTCTCTGTCTCTGTCTCTGTCTCTCTCCTGAAAAATTGACTTATATTTTTAATTTACTAACACTTCATTTTTCAGGTTTAGTGGGATTACATATGAGATGTTGAATGGGGTAACCACAAGTCTTAAAGACATTCAGGTTTGTTGCTCCAATCAACTCTCTTTTTTCCCATTTTGATGCAGTTTCTACTGGTAGTGTAATGTTGATTTAATGATTGATTTCTTTTTTAAGATATCATTTTCTCATTTCTTTACAGTTGCTTCCTGTATTCAGGAAGACTTTCTAAAGCTGGTTTACAAAGAGACCATCCTGGTTGGGCATTCCCTGGAGAATGATTTGTTAGCTCTAAAGATCTCTCATGAAGTGGTGATTGATACTGCACTATTATACAAACATCCCCGGGGTGGAAATTATAAATCTGCTCTTCGAGTTCTTTCAAAGAGATTTCTTTCTAAGGAGATACAGCAGTCAGGGGCTGGGCATGACAGCATTGAAGATGCAAGAGCTACTATGGAACTGGCACTATTAAAGATAAGAAATGGCAAGTGAAGTTGTGACTAGCATTTGCTTTTGTAGTTCACTGCATTGTTCTGTGCTGTATAAATGCATTTCTAGATGCTTATCTATATTCTATTCTTCTGGCTCTTCTGTTAGGACCTGATTTTGGGTCTCCCCCATCATTTGTGCGGAGAAAGCTCCTTACAGTTTTGAGTGAGTGTGGTAAAACCTCCTCATTCATTGATGATATTTCCATAGTAAAGCGGTATGCATCTGGTTCATCCCATTCATTTCCTGTGTCTTCCGATGAGGAAGCACTTTTGAAAGCTAGAAAGGAGGTAGGTATATTTGGAATTGGCTCTGGATTTTTTTGTTTATTCTTTGATCAGTGATTGTATGCTTATTTGAATAGTGCTGGTTGTAGGTTAAGAATGGTGGAGTACACTTTGTCTGGGCCCAATTTTCAGAGTTGAATTCCTATTTCAAGAAACAAGCAGAGGATGAAGGGAAGTTAAATGGAAAACTTGCAGAGATGATATCATTACTTACATGTGAAAAGAAGTCAACCAACACAAAAGGCATGAAATGCAATATGACACCCCAACTAAAGGAAATTCTTACTAGTATGGATGCTAGGGTTCGTTGCCTCTACTCCACGCTACCAACTAATACCATGCTTATAATTTGCACTGGACATGGAGATACAGCAATAGTGAATAGGTATGTGTTTTTAACATGTTATAGAACATTTTGTTTCATTTACTATGCCATGTTTCTTTGTTTGCTATCAGAATAACTTAATTTCATGCTTTAAATATTGAATAAAGAAAACTGAAAAGCAACCATGCAGTAATAGTTCATCTTATAGTAATTCAATCCTCATATTTTGAAAGACAGACTTTTGAAGTATGTAGTTTCTGCAAGTAAAAAACTATTTACAAGAGCATAAAGGGGGTGCATTCATATAGAAAACTGACACATAATCCATAACACAAGGAGCATTAATCAAATACTGTTTCATGAAAGATAACATGGATAGGTAATTCGTATCCAGTAAATGCCCTAATTTTACGCTGCCTTCACACCACCCAAAAAAATGGTTAAGAGTAATTAGGATGAACATGGTTTTGCTCTCTTTTTATCAAAGGGAAAATCCGTTAACCATGATCTGGCTCTGTTGGAATATGAAAATTATTAGACTTTGAAGAATGATCATAAACTCCCAAACGTGTTTGATGAGTATATTCTAGTGAGTGGGCATGCCAATAGGTTATTGCTCTCCATATTTTATCTCAAACACGTCGTACAATGTGCAGCTTTCTTTGTTTTTAATGACCTGTGATAGTATAAACTTGGACATGGAACGAGATTGGTAATGCACCCACCTCTTGCATTAAGCTCTGACTTCCATATGATGAGAATCATGGGATTCTTTTTCTTAATATTACATTTGTATGTTTACAATGGCGACGTGAAGTTATGGGCTTTGGTCTAATATCCTTCTCGCGGCTCACTTTGTATTGACTTTAATTTCTCACTTGGAATGTCTGTTCAGTACTTCTATCAGTGAAAACATAAGCTGTTTCAAGGCTACCACTAATTTGATTATTCAATGGTTTGTTTGAAGTGTATGTGACACAGCCTGTTTCTAAACATCTATGGTACATACGTAACCATACAAATTTTTTCACAACTCGATATCTATGTGAACCCCATAAATCTGTGTAGGCACATGATGAAGCAGTACCTTATTAGTTGTTCAACCTTTCATCTTGAATCTTCAGTTTGTTGCGTTGTCTTTACTGTTCTTTCTCCTATTGATTTGCATGGATGAAGGGTAAGGAAAATGCTCGCAGAGCAGAAAGAAACTGCCATGTCTCGTGAGAAGATTGTCAAGGTCCTGGAAGAGCTCCAGGCCCAAGCTGAAGTAGCGTTATGTTTTGTTGGTGTGAAGAACTGAGGACATGCCAGATAGAGAAGGGTCTTTGATTTTTGACCTGTAATCTGTTGGTGTTTGCTCTTGTATCAAGCTTTTCACAATTTTGGTTGAAAAAAAGTTAGTGAGCATTAATAGTGTCATCACTCATTGAATAGTAAGGAAATTGTGTAAAATTATTAATTTATTTCTTGAATGATCTAGCTCGTAAGATTTAAAGAGAGACATTTCTAGATATCAAAATGCATGGAAGAATTCATTGAGCTTTGCTCGAGCTGGCCATCCATTTCTTATAATCTGTATAATTTCACCACCTCCTTTTCATCCTAGTGGTGGTAGAGGGCGGGAGGAAGGGTGCCGGATTTTCATAGAAAGACAAGATTTCGGGATATGGAGATTTCCGAAGCAAAGAACCCTGACTGTCTAAAGAGTGAGGAGGACACCAGGGAGATTTGCTAGCTGATTAAGCAAACATTAAAATGAAGACAGGGAAGCAAAGCTTGGAGTAAAAGAGAAGTGGATAATGTTAGATAACCTACGACATCACTTCTGGAAAAGAACTTTACACAACAAGCGCAAGTCATTGCAGCTAATAAGATCACATATCTCTATCAGTATGCAGTTTTATCACACAAAACTATTGGCACAGGCAACCTACACAAACATTCTATATACTCTAATGCTCGGTGCCACAGCTGAACCAGTAACGAAATGGTAGCTGTTATTTCCATGCTGAAGCAAAAACCAAACTTTTGTCTTCCCACCCAAAATGAAGCGCACCCACTTCCTCCTTCAACATGTATCTATCGCTATACTGCTTTATGAGTTTCCGAATCGAATCAACCACGCTAGGACTGATTGAACGCGGAGTGAAGCCTGCCATCTTCATCCTTGCCCTCCATTTCCCGGCAACCTCATACCTCTCAATCCTTTCCTCTCCCTCACATGCTACAATGTTTACTATGTCCCGTGCCAGACACTGTTTCTCAACATTCAGCCTGTCCTGGCTCTCTCGAGGGAGAGTTGCATCAAGAGAAGCGAACACGGCAGAGTAATAGTTGTAAGCTTCAGTAAATCTCGGGAAAAAGGGGGCAGTATTAGTATTCACATCTTGCTCGACAACAGTTACCAGTTTTGGATTCAAGCTCTTAGCCATCCGAAGAAGCTGGTCTCGCTCATTTACTGTTGAAACACTCTCATCAGGCATGTGATGGAGCTGGAAAGCAAAATTCACTACAAGTGCTTCCCCAGGCTTGCAGTTCAGCATGGATGGACTGACAACTGAAGTCTTGGAGGCCACCGCGTGAAACTCAAATGGGACCTTAAGTGCTTCTGCTAGCTTTTCAAGCCTTTGCCCAATGATCCTCAGGCCACCAACATGTCGTTGAACTGACTCTGGGTCATCTACCCCGGTTAATCTCAAATTTGGCAGCTTACCTGGCTGGTTGGCGAGTGTTTGTATCAGTGTTATGTATTGACTCCCTTGGTTTATGTCAAAATCTATTATATGAACTCTCCTTTCACCTTTAAATGCTTCGATCATTGCACCATTTGCTGCCATAAATCCAAATTTAAAACAAGGGCAAATCTCAAAAAGGATCTGCATAGCTGCAAGCCTATCAGAAGAAGGAGGCTCCTTGCATTTCAGAGCTTTATAAAGATATATTCCAGATTCAGCCATACGAGCTGCAAGTCCTTCCACCATGTAGGCTGCAATCCTCTGTGGAGGATCTCCTTGAATCGAGACCATTTGACGGAGCTCATTTATTAATGCTGATGCTTTCTCATTGTTTTCCTCCGAGATTGCATTAGCACACTCAAAAAGCAATCGCCTGGGAGTCCGAGGTGATAACTGTGATACTTCTTTATTACTGCTGATGCTACTTAGGTAAGAATCTGAAGACGATGACTCCTTGGGAGAATCATGGAGCATCCCATTCTGGATTGGATCAGACCACTCTGCATCCATTTCCATGCTTTGACTATTTCCAAACATGCCATCCTCATCATCCTCTTCATTATCTTCTAAAAGTGCTCTCTCTAGTTCCTGAAGCTTTAACTTCATCTTATATTCATCATAATCTAGTTGATCTGGGCTCTCAATGTCCAAGTAATCTGACTCGGAAATGAATTGATAGCCATCGCAGGGTGTGGTCAAATTGAAAGAAGCATTGTAGGGATCGTGAGGGAACATGGTTGAACCTGAACTCTTTCTTGGCTGGTAGGAAGATGCCCCTTGTGGATGATGAGCTGAGTTCCCTGAAATGTCAGAACTTGATGGTTGTATTATTTCTTCTGTTGGGGAATCAAGGAAGTACTTCTCATAACTCTCACAAGAGTAAGAATCGGTCATATACATGTTCTGCCGTTTATCAGGCCCGAATATTTGGGCAGACAAACCAGAGTTGTCATTGCTCCCCTTCAGTGAGTACAGCTTGTTATTTCCGTATGCTCTGGCAGAGAGTTCTGCAGATCCAACTAAAGACATGATTTTTCTCTAAATTAACTCAGGTTTGAAGAGTGATGGTTGTATCATATATATCCCGAGGCTTGAGTCACTGTCGTCAAATTGGCAGGAAATAACTTGTTAATATTTGTCAAAAATGAGAACTACCATACAACACTATCACTCTCTTTAAAAGAAATGTAAAATAATCACCTGGAGCAGCCCCTTAGATTTGAAATCCAGATGAAATTTATTGGGTGTCTGCATTTAGGGACAAGCAATGTAAAGGAAAACAGTTGGAGAAACAGCAACCAACAAGGTATAAGCCTATACACATAGCTTGAGAAACACTCATGTAACAGAAAGAGAACCGAATTCTGAATTATAGACCGTGGAGAATCAGTCTGTGTAAATATGCAAATACATTGAATAAGCTTGTTTGCGTCTCTGACAACAGACTTAATTCTTAGATTGCTTTTATTGATCGACTTCAAATTCCTTCAAAAGCAAGTTATAATTGACATTAAAGATCTTCCCTTAGTGACAAGGAAAAGACTTGATGCGTGTCCGCATCAAGACTGCTATGTTCAATCAGAAAAAGGAAACAGACAGAGAGTTGAATCTTGGCTCTTCTTATGTACAACAGAGAAGGATTCATTGATAACCAGTGCTGCAGAGGACACAATAATCTATATTTTTTAGGTAGCAACACAAAATCTTCAGAAAAAACGAGATCTATTGAACATCCAATAATACGTAGACAATCAACCACAAATGACATAAACAAAAATCAGAAGGAAGGATAATAATCAGCAGTAGAGGTCATATAAGTAGTCAATCCTGAATTCTTATGTTTTTATTTTAGCAGACAGGGCATGTACCTGAAGTGGGAGAATGAATTCAAGAGGAAGTGGCAAAGGTCATAGCAGCCAATCCTGGAATTTAGTTGATAACCAGATAGACATAAGCCTCAAGATTGGTTTTGAAGGAAAGAAAGAAAGATAAAGGATTTGACTATGAACACCTGTGTTTTGGAGGCAAAAGGATAAACATACCTCTTAATGGTATCTTCACAAACAGAAAAAACCCAACTTTTGATTGTGATGTGAGGTAAGTTGGAGGGCAACAAACCATTTAACAAACCAAAATACTAAAAAATAGGACAAAAACTTGAAGAAAATGTAAGCCAGGTGAATAAAATACAACTTGACAGAGAAGAATTAAGCTACCCAAAGACCAACAATATCTTATTTAACGAGTTATATGAAAGTTGTGAGAAAAGTGGTGAGAAGCTAACCAAAAATATTCTTCTTTTGAGATAGAAACTTCTTTGAAAGGCTTTCTTCACCTGAAAACAGACTTTTCTTCCTACGGTGGAGTTTCCTTTGCTTTGTCTTTCGGGTTTTTCACTTTTTCTTCATGTTTATACCGACTTGTCTGACTAGCTTGTCATTCCTAAATTTGACGTGGTGGGGTCCAAACACACCCGCAATATGGAACTCCAATTTCATCACTCAATCCTCACCATTTTTAAGTTTGAACGCCATTGATTGATTTGGCGTGCTTTGTTAATTAGAGTTGTTGACCTTTCTTTAATGGTGGGCACAGGGGCATGAAATCATGAAATTGCTTGAAGCTACCCACGAAATATTTGACCCAAATTTCTGACAAAATCGAAGAGGTGACGACAGATTATTGGTGAAAAAGATTTCAGAAAAGCATTGTGACAGGGTAAAAGAAACAGTAGGTTACAACGCCTGTGGAGGTGGTGGTAAAGTGATAACAAGTGTACGGTCCTTGTTGAAAGCATGGTACAGGAGTTGCTATGATCATGATGGTGATTGTGAATTTGGTGATGTTGGACCAACAGATTCGAAACGAGTGGGTGAGTAAATGGATTGCACTTTCTGAAACATAAACATGGGAGGGGTCAAAGTATTTTTGATTGATTTATTCCATGCTTCTCGATGACGAGCTTGTGGTCTCGGAGCCAACTCACCTTTGCTTTGCACCACCGTCAAAACTTTATAAATAGTTGAATTTCAGAATCCACGTTTGCCGTGTAACCTAATCTTGAATCCACGTTTACTTGAAAAGACAAATGAGTCCCTATAGTTTATGTCATCCTTATGTCATGGCATGCATGAGCAAAACCCGCATGGGACAGGCAATTATTGTTTAAATTTATTATCTAGTTTAAAAAAAGGCTTATCTTTTTTTAATCATTTTTTTTTGTCTTTTCACGGTGCAAATTAGTCATTATATATGTATTTGGAGATATTATCTTCTTTTTCTATATATATATATATATATATTTTTTCTATATTTTAATAAATAGTAAAATGACCATAAATTTTCCAAGACCATAAAAACCAGCACTACAGGAGAGGGATATTTTTGTATACAGTAAAATTATGTATACCTTTAAGTCTAAAAAAATTAACACAAAGAATCAAGGTTGATGGAGTCTTTTTAAATTTGGTGTTTTTTTTTTTGTAATGGTTAGTTTGAACATGGATAATTATATTGTCTAATATTAAATTTATATTATTTTCTTTGAAAAAGTTGAGGGCAAGTGAGAGCCGTAGTGCATTTTTTGTGGAGCATGCAGCGTTTCTCGATTAAAAAAAATATGTTATTGTTGTTTTATTTGATTTTCACCATGTTCTTATTGCTGTCTCATTTGATTTTTATCATGTTTTTTCGCAAAGCGTGGCAACATATGATGACTAGGTTATTGCTGGTTGGTATTTTTTATTTATTTATTTATTTTCTCTTACCTTGAAAAATGAGCTTTGATCCTTATTGTTATTGGTCTTTCA